CCGCCGACATGTGATCGTACCCACGACGCGGCTACTTGGGCCGCTCACTCAACTGGCTACCGACCTAGCGACGTTAGTTACACAGGAGTACGCCCGACAGGTTTTACTTGAACCGGACCCCTACCTCACACCTGCCGCCTGCGCGGCACTCATGCCACCTTCCCCTGTCCCACTCCTAGGCGCTCCCCCACCCGCCCAGTACCCGCCAGTACAGACGGAGCGGTATCCGACGCGTATGTATCTGACCGAGCAGTATACACATGCAGCTGCTCAGGTTCTGCCGTCAGCGATCCGACGGTCAGAGTACTACATACTAAACCTATACTGTGGGAGACGCCGTCCTGGGGATATTCAGGCTCGCTTAGAAATGGAGGAGTACCATACCGATTTCGCCGTATACGTACTTTCGATCGACATCGCTATCGATCCCGTTCTTGGCAATCTGATGCGCCGTGAATCCCTAGACATTTGGAAGGAACACATACGTGCCAAACGTGTTGTGCTGTCAGGAGGAGGGCCCCCGTGCGAAACATGGGCTGCCATACGCTGGGCCCTTGACAAGGGCCCCCCACCACTACGTTCCCATGACGATTTCTGGGGCCTGCTATCGGTTACGCCGCGCCAGATGGAACAGCTACGTGCGGGCAATGAGCTCCTTGGAGCCATGATTGAGCTTTTCGCCGAACATTTGATTGTGGGCACTTGCTGCTGGATGGAGCATCCCATGCCAGCCGACTGGAGACAGGCAGCAGTGAGTTCTTTCTTTTCCCCCCCCCCTACGGGCCATCATGGCCCCCCCAGCCGCGACCGTGACAGACTTCGACCAATGCGAACACGGCCAGGTTGCTCGAGCTCCCACCCGCATTCTGGCGCTGCGGATGGAAACCCTTTCTGGCAGGCTTCTGGAGACCCCAGGTCGTGGAAGATGTTCTCACGGACGGGGGGCCCACGAGGTACTCATGGGGTTCGATCGGACCCGAGACGAGTGGCGCACTGCCAAGAAGAAGACATACCCTCCTGCTCTATGTCGAGTATTGGCCGACGGTATCACAGACGCGATCAACCATATGTGTGTGACGTGTGGAGACGATACACTGCCAGAGGACATGAGGGAGGAGGAGGAGGAGTTTCGTGGGTCCCTGTCAGCTTTTTATGTAGCATGGGACCCATATCTCGGTACTGACGAGTCTCGGGCGCCCGATATTGTCGATTCTCGGTCCCGGAAGGTGCGTGCCGACCCAGAGCGCCACAGGTTCCTCCCCCCCGAATCGCCAGCCACCGAGTTTGCAGACGCAGGCGTTGTGTATGATTTCGCTGCGGACCCGCGGGACCCCGGCCCGATCGAGGCCTCAGAGGAACAGGAATATGCAGATGTACTTGCTTTCCTGGATGGCATTGAGTTGCCACCACCTGGCTCGCTTGCTCCGCCCCCTGTACCCGTTCCCCAATCTCCGTGTCCCCCGCCGCCCCCACAGCCCGTTGAGATTACACCAGAGCTGCGTACCCTAATTGCTACCAAGCGTGCGCAAGCTAGAGAGCGACGTCGGATTCGACTCGCTCAGCGAATAGCCCCATGGACTTTCCAACCCGATTTCGGGGTAGGGCTGTTTGATAATGCGCATGAATAAATAGGATGTTGGGCGGAGGGCCTCTGGGATAGGTAGTGGATGGGCAAGGGATTGCTTTCTCAGTCAGGCACTTTGTCAGCCCTGGCCTTGCTCTCACAAATGTTTCGTCTTTCGAGCCTTGCGTTCTCTTTTCTCTCACCATATTAGATGCTCACAGACACCCGCGCCACGCACACGGCACTTGGGTGGACCACCGTCTTGGGTGGTGACAGGCTAGCAGGCTGACAGTGGGGTACTTGTGCGGCCGTGCTTTGATCTCTCTACCTATGTTGCCAGTGTTTCGAGCTTTGCGAAGTCCTTGCTTGTGGCTGGTGCTATGGTTAATGCGTGCCCTCCTCGTTTGGGCAGTCCCGTGGCGGTATACAGATAACCCCTAGCTCAACCGTCAGTTTCGAGCTGAGCTGGAATCACGTCCGCTGAATGAGCTTGCATTCCATAGCCGTCTGACCTCCAGAGTTGCGCCACAGTAGGCCTAACTTTCGTGTGGATCAGTTTTTTCTGCAGGCAGCCTCTCTTGGACCATGGATGTGCGTCTGTCGGCCACCTTCAGTTTCCAGGAGTATCCGATTGCAGCAGTTTCAGGTGATTTCTGTAGTATGGAGGGAACGTTGGGCGTTGGGATTGGTTGGTCGGGCATCGGAGGTTTAGCAGCGTGGCAGTGTAGCAACAGTCAGAGAGAGCGGCAGCCCGCCTCTCTTGCTCTCTCGCGCGCACGCCTGCCTGCATGCGCTGTCCCGCCCGCTTGCCCACTCTCTCGCTGACAATAGATTTCAGACAGTGCGTAACAGGTTTCACTGAAAGCAGTTGACGTGCGCAACTGTAGACAGCTCGAGAGTCAGCGTGGTCGGCCGAACCGAGGGTCGAACCGTGAGGGGAGGGGGCCATAGTGGGCGCTCCGAAAGGAACTCGCGAAGCCCCCGCCCCACAGCGGCGCTCGCCGAGGTAAAGTCGTTCAGTGCAGCTGTTTTGAGAGCTGACAGCGGTCGAGGAGATCGCAACATGTATTCGGGAGGGGGTGGAGTATGTCAGGTTGGGCGGACGTGCTGAGTTCAGAGAGGCATGTGCCTGCCTCTCTTGCTTCTTTCCGCCGCCGCCTGCTTGCCACCCGCTCGCCTGCTCTCTCTCCACCGTCAACCTGGACAGAGGTGCGCCCCCTCGCGTTTTCTGTCACCGACCGACTGTCAAGCTTCAAGCCTTGGCCCGTGGGGGGCAGCGGCAGGGGGCTCGGTGAGCGTAGTCCGTCGCTAACCACACACCCGTTGCGTGTGGCACCGAACCCCCGAGTGTCCGTCGGTCCGCGCGCCGCCAGCCAGGCGCTCATGCGGCTGCACGCCACAGCCCCCGCTTGCCGCCAGCCTCTCTTGCTTTTGTCTTGCAGATAAGGATGGGAGTGGGAGTGGCCGGCTGTTTTGAGGAGGGGTTAAGGCAGCTAGTACATCTCTGTCAAGCGTGTTGTCTTGGTGCGGCCAGGGTTACGCCGAGAGCAACCGCGCAGGATTGCCCACCCTGGCCGCCGCCACTTCCTGGCCACGGTTGAAAGTTTCAATCCTTTGCCGCCTAGTGCCAGACGCTCTGCGTCCACATTGCTGCCCCGCACCCAGTCGTGCGCGTAGTTAATACTATGGGACTGGGTGGGATTCGTGGGATTTGGCAGGTTGGTTGGAGGAAGTTACTGTCTGACTTGACTTCAGGTGCCCGTGCAGAGTTTGCGAGTTTCGCCTCTTAGTACAGCCACACGTGTTGACTGTGCTGACTGCCTCTGCTAGCAGCAGCGCCGCCATTAGCTGACAGGCCATATGCTTCATCAGCAGCGCAATCCAAAAAATCCCTCCCTCCATCCATCCCTCCCTCCCTCCTCCTCCTCCTCCTCCTCCTCCTCCTCCTCCTCCTCCTCCTCCTCCTCCTCCTCCTCCCCTCCCGGAGCGCGCCAGGGGCGGCGCCAGAGGCGCTGCCAGGGGGCTCCGACGCCGACCCGAGAAGTCCGCGCGGACCTCCGAGAGGCCATGCTTCAGCCGGTTCTTGCTCCCCGAAGGAGATCGGTATCCGTACCCGTTCCTCCTCTAACCTAAGGGATAACGATCAGGGGGGGCTGGCTCAGGGGGGGGCAGAATCGACCTGGAATCGGCGGTACATCGGCGGTAGGCCCCCGATGGCTGGTCTCCGCCTTCCGGGGCGGGGTGGGGCTGTCAGGCCCCCTTCTCGGCGATCCATGGGCGACTGGAGTCGATGCCTTCCTCTTGAGCCTGAGCCCCACAGACGTTGCCCCCTGGTCTTCGTGTCATAACTCCGCTCTGCAGCGGCCGTTTGGAACGAGCTGGGCACCCCCGGAACGCTCTCGGCGAGGCGCAGCTGCTGGAGAGCACCCCGCGGCTGGCAGAACGCGAGAAGCGACAGCAACGCCCGAAGACGTCCGACGAACGATGCGTCGCGATCCTCCCCCTCAGACCCCCGACGTCGTGATTTTTTCACGTCGACCCCACGAGGTCTGGACCCCTTCCCCGGGGCCAGTTTTTCATCCTGAGTCGTTTTTTGATGGTCCTGGGGCTCGGTGAGGGCCCCAGGAGGCCGAAAATTGCGAAAAACCTCCCGTCGTGATTTTTTCACAACGCGAGGGGGTCTGGGGCCAAAGGCCACTCCGGCGCACGCGTAGCCGGCGGAGGGGGGCGGCGAGCCGCTGGCTCTGTCCGCGCGGCTCTGGCACCCCTGGGTGCCAAGGTTCGGGCCCAGGCCCAGACCCAGACCCCCTCTCGTCGTTTCGTTGCCAACCATCCCTGTGGCGTTGGGTCCTCGTCTTGAAGAGACAGCGCCCCTCCTCCTCTCCTCCTCGCCTTTCCTCCTCCCCTCCTCCCTCCTCCCTCTCCTTGCCTCTGCCTTCCGCATGTCTCTGCTTCGGTACACCCAGTACAGCGCTTCGTGGCCCCAAATCGGGAGCGGCCAAGAGGGGGGTGTCCAAGAGGGGGGGGTGCAAATCATGACCGGCGGCATGTGCGCGGCCCAGCGGGGGGGCCAGGGACGTAATGAAACAAGAAGAGGCGCCATGAAATCTGGGGAAATATCATGGCCCCGCCATGATATCCACCCCCCCCTAGTCATCGCCCCCCTCTTTTCCGCCCCCGCCCCCGACCATAGGGAGCTCCACCGATTCCTTTGCAGCGCGAGGGGGTCTGGGCCCGTCGCTGCCCCTGGGGACCTCCTGCCCGCCGCGAACGCAGCGGGCCACCCCGCCACCTCCTCCTCCTCCTACCCTCCTCCTCCTCCTCCTCCTCCTCCTCCTCCTCCTCCTCCTCCTCCTCCTCCTCCTCCTCCTCCTCCTCCTCCTCCTCCTCCTCCTCCTCCTCCTGGGGGTCTGGGCCCGTCGCTGCCCCTGGGGACCTCTTGCCCGCCGCGAACGCAGCGGGCCACCCCGCCAGGAGCGCCGCGCCGAGCGCCAGCGAGGCCGCCGCCGTGGCCCGCCGCCGCGCCGGGGGCCCCGGGGCCGCCATGCCGGAGGGCCGCCCCGGCTGCACGCAGGCAGGGCTGAACCTGAGCAGAGTTGTGCGTTTTCGGCCTGTGCTTCCTTCCTCGTTCTCGCTCTCGTCTTGTCGTTGATTCGTTTTTTGTTGTTCGTATTCGTCTTGTTGCTCCTTATTCGTTCCGTCCTGTTGCGGCTGAGCCTGAACCGTGTTTTCCATGTTCGTCTTGTTCTTCCTTCCTTTTCGTTTTCGCGTTTTGTTTTTCCTCGTTTTGCCTTCGCTTCGCCTTGAATGCAAAACAAAACGGCCCACGAGATGGCCAAAACACCGTTTACGTCCAGCCCCTGCACGCAAGAGTGACCCCAGGGCAGGAGAAACATGTCTGGCGGCGCGCACGGGGGGTAGGGGAGGGGGGAAAGACTTCTTATCCAGACCCCCTCGGGTTGCGACAAAAATGTTACGACAGGGTTTTAACTATTTTCGGCCTCTGGGATACCTTACCGGGCCTCGGGACCGTGAAAAAACGACTCGGGATGAAAAACCAGTCCCAGGGAAGGGGTCCAGAACTCTGGGGGTCGACGTTGTGAAAGAATCACGACGTCGGGGGTCCGGGTTGTCGGCGGCGCGCACAGGGGGGTAGTGGGAGGGGGAGAGCTTCTCAGGAGGCTGCCTCGCAGAAGGCGCCAGCCCTAGATCTACAGACCAGGCCCGCGCCTTCTAAGAAGCAGGGGTGCTTCAAAAAAAAACCCTCCTCCTCCTCCTCCTCCTCCTCCTCCTCCTCCTCCTCCTCCTCCTCCTCCTCCTCCTCCTCCTCCTCCTCCTCCCCCATAACCCCCTCTGAGCGCGGCCGACCTGGGCCAGAGTGACCTTTAGTGGGCGAGTCGGCGAGATTGTGAGAACCGTTTAACCGATCCTGTCCCCACTGACGTGGCCTGGGCCCCACTGGCTTCCTCCTCTCCTCCTCCTCCTCCTCCTCCTCCTCCTCCTCCTCCTCCTCCCCTCCTCCTCCTCCTCCTCCTCCTCCTCCCCTGGATGGGGATACAGGCGGTTCCCTGCGGGTTTCGAGGGGTATATCCCCAACTGGGGCGGTGGGATGGTGGGGCTCGAGATGGGGATGGGGACAGGGATCGGTCAAACAAGGCTTCTGGCAACAAGTTGCAAAACAAGCGCTACACTAAGCATCAGCGAATGAACCGCCCGAACTTTCCCCTCCCCTGGGAACCCCACTGTGCCCGCACCCGCACCAATAGAGGCCTCCTAGATGGGGTCCGAGTAGATGGGGTCGGAGGATCTCGCCGCATCGGCGATACATCGGCGATGCATCGGCGATGCACCGGCGATGTATCAGCGACGTCGGCGATGCATCGGCGACGTCGGCGCGGAGAAAATTGGGCTCCACATCGAGCCGCATCGCCGATGCATCAGCGATGCGGCGCGATCCTCCATCCCCATCTACTCGGACCCCTTTCTGGGAGGTCTGGAGAATGACAGCCCGACCTTTCCGCTCCAGAGGTCACTCCGGCGATCCTTCGACCTCATCTGCCCGAACCCCAGCTAGGAGACCTGGGGAACCACCGCCCGAATGTTCCGCTCCTCTGGGAACCCCAGCGTGCCGGCGCCAAAGGTCACTCCAGCGAGAGGTCACTCTCACACGTAGCCGGCGGAGGGGGGCGGCGAGCCGCTGGCTCTGTCCGCGCGGCTCTGGCACCCCTGGGTGCCAAGGTTCGGGCCCAGGCCCAGGCCCAGACCCCCTCTCGTCGTTTCGTTGCCAACCATCCCTGTGACGTTGGGTCCTCGTCTTGAAGAGACAGCGCCCCTCCTCCTCTCCTCCTCGCCTTTCCTCCTCCCCTCCTCCCTCCTCCCTCTCCTTGCCTCTGCCTTCCGCATGTCTCTGCTTCGGTACACCCAGTACAGCGCTTCGTGGCCCCATAGGGAGCTCCACCGAAAGTCCCAGTGGCGGAACTCGCATGCGTCGTTGCTCGTTGTTTTGCTTTGTTGCCGCCGGGACAGCGCTGCTTTCGATGAGCCTGCAGAAAGGCTCAAAGTCTCACTGTACCGTAAGGCGCTCCATGCATGCGCTCGCACCGAGAGGGGAACGAGCCAGGGACGCTGGAGCCAGGGGCTGACAGATGGAGGGAGGGAGGCAGAAATGGGGTGGAAGGCGGACGAGACGAAGGGGGAGCGGAAAAAGCTCCTCTCGTCGTCCTTCTCCCTCCCGCCAGACGAACGGCCGAAGAAAGCTGCAGGCCAGAAGTGGTCCACCCACCGGCAGCGAAAAGCAGCTGGCCAACGACTCCCCTGATGAGGCAGCCGCGCCGCGGGCTCAGGGGTGCGAGGGCAAAGGCCCAGGCCTCCTCCCGTCGTGGGGCGCAACAGCGAGACTGGAGGCCTCCATGGGGTCCGAGCAGATGGGGGCGGAGCCTCCTCCTGCTCCTCCTCCTCCTCCTCCTCCTCCTCCTCCTCCTCCTCCTCCTCCTCCTCCTCCTCCGCCCTCCTCCTCCTCCTCCTCCTCCTCCTCCTCCTCTCCTCCTCCTCCTCCTCCTCCCTCCGCCCTCCTCCGCCTCCTCCTCCGCCCTCCTCTCCGCCCTCCTCCGCCCTCCTCCTCCTCCTCCTCCTCCTCCTCCTCCTCCTCCTCCTCCCCCTTCTCCCCCCTCCCCCTCCCCGCCCTCCTCCCCCTCCTCCCCTCTGGGCCGCATCGCCGATGCATCGGCGACGTCGGCGTGGCGAAAATCGAAAATCGGGCCCACATCGAGCCGCATCGCCGATGCATCAGCGGTGCGGCGCGATCCTCCCCAGACATCCGGCCGCTCCAATGTTGTCGATGCGTGGGCCCAGGAGGTCTGGACCACGTCTCTGGGGCCGGCTTTTCGTCATGGCCCGTCTTGTTGACGGCCCCGAGGCTCGGCGAGGGCCCCCGGAGGCCGAAAACAGCCCAAACCGCCCGCTCCGATTTTGTTGGAGCGTCGGATTTCTGGGTCCGACCCCATCTACTCGGAGCCTTCGGTGGCAACTCATGGGAGCCTCTCATACCAGCTTGTCGGCTCGTGCGAATCGACGCTAATCGACGCTAAATCGACGCCAACCCACGCTAAATCGACGCGAATCGACGCTAACCGGCTAAATCGGCGCCATCTCCTCGACTCCCAGACGCTGATGGACGATAACCGACGCTAAAGACGGAAGTACGAGGGTACACAAGGCTCCCATGATTTGCTACCGACCTCGTCTACTCACGCACATGGACATGATATTCGAACCCTGTGGCCCAAGATGCCTCCCAGACCCCCCGCAAATTACTGATGGCGTGGCGACGGGGGGGGCGTGAGTGGACAGAAATATTCAAACCCCGAAGCACCGCCTTTACTGGGATCAACATTGATGTCGGGGGCGCGGGGGTGATTTAGAATCTCCCTCGAATGTGTAAGCGTTCGAACAGATTGTCGTCCATCTACTGTCGCAGCCCATCTGGGAGGCCTGGAGAAAAAGGGGGGGGTTGACCAACCTCGGCCTCCCAGAGGGGCCCTCGCCGTGCTCCTGGGCCCCAAATAGACGGCCGACTCCAAACCTCGGGGGTCCACGCCGAGAAGTTCGCCTGGCGATGGACCTAACTCTGTCCAGGCCCCTACGAGGCATGAAGAAAGCACGACGGGAGCGGTGTCGCTATCGTCGGCCTCTGGGGGCCATCGCTGGGCCTCGGGACCGCTGAAAAGCGACTCAGGACGAAAAACCGGTCCCAGGGAGCGGGTCGAGACCTCTCGGGGTCGAAGCTATGAAAACAAATCATGAAGTCGACGGTCTGGGCATGCAGTTGCGAGTACCGCAGGACAGGTGGAGACTAAGGGAGGGGGCCAGCTGAAGGACTAAGGCGTCGGCGAGAAGGACGGAGCAACGCTGCCGAGGGGGTCGCAGGGGTCAGCCGCAACGGGCTACATCTGGATGTGCCCCCGGGCCTGGGTCAGGGGCTGCGGCTCGCAGGCCGGGGGGTGTTCACATACGATCTGCATATTGAGCAGCGACTCGAACGTTTTCTCAAAAGAGCTGTTTGAGGTCGCCCGCGTCCTGCCACCATGAGGCTGTCCACTGCGCTCTGTGGCCCTCACTTGCGCGTGGACAAATCCCACTCGCATCTGTGATCCGGGCGGTTGTGCAACCGCGCCCCATGAATCTGTCGGGTTACAGGGAACGAACAATGACATAAACATAAAAACTCGGAAGTCCGCGCGGATTTCTCGGATCGGCGCTCGATCCCCCGTCCCTGGCGCGCGGAGCGCGCCAGGGGCGGCGCCGGAGGCGCCGCCAGAGGGGTCCAGCGCGGATACGAGAAATCCGCGCGGACCTCCGAATTCTTACGCTTATTATTATCATTAGTATTACCATTATTATTATTATTATTATTATTATTATTATTATTATTATTATTATTATTATTAGTATTATTATTATCATTATTATTTGTATTTTTATTTTTATTATTGTTATTGTTATTAGTATTATTATTATTATGATTATTATTATCATTCTTATTACTATTGTTAACATTATTATTATCATTATTATTATCATCATTATTATTGTTATTTTAATTATTATTATTATTGTTGTTATTGTTGTTATTAGTAGTAGTAGTAGTAGTAGTAGTAGTAGTAGTAGTAGTAGTATTACTACCTATACGACCACCCTGCGGGTGATAAGGAGGTGAGGGGGGAGGGGGAACCAACGTCTCACTCAATCGATCTCGCTATCGATCTCACATTCGGTCTCACATTCGGTCCCACATTCGGTCTCACATTCGGTCTCACATCGGGACACCATCATCATCATCGACATCATCATCATCATCATCATCATCATCATCATCATCGTCATCATCATCATCATCATCATCATCGGGACACCATCATCGTCATCAACATCATCGTCACCATCACCATCATCAACATCATCATCAACATCCTCGTCATCGGGACACCATCTTCATCAACATCATCAACGTCATCATCATCATCACCACCATCATCATCACCATTATCACCATCATCACCATCACCACCATCATCATCTCACAATCGATCTGAC